GCTGTGAGGAACCTCTGATGAAGCTGAAACCCATGATACTGGAGTGTAAATAAAGATGAGATCTTGGGGAAGAAGAGGAGGCAATGGGGCTCAGCAGGCGATGAGGCCACAACTTCAGGCCTAACAGGCATCTGCTTCTCTGTGCTCCCTTTAGTGAAGAACCAGTCCGGGCGTGGGGGGGGGGGGTATAGCCGAAGAAAGGGAAGGGGAATGCAGGCTATGTCCTTGGGTGAATGGAGAATGTCAGCTGTAGGGCTAGCACAAAAGCACTCCCTCTGACACATCCCCCCCAAGAACCACACCAGACCTCAGTTTACTTATCTGTAGACTGTCCCTGGGCTGATCAACAGAGAATCTGACACCTCCTAACCGTACAGCCCAGTCTAGGCAGAAACAAAGCTTCAAGGCTGAGAGATTCTCAATGGGGGTGTGGTGCAAGATGTCAACCTGGGGTTAAGCCCCTCCCCCCACCAGCTGGCCTAACCCTCTTGTGAGACCAGGACTGGCTTGTCTGAGAGGCCCATCAGTTCCACCCCCATTGAGTTTCCCTGACCAGCGACTCTGTATTTAATCAAGGGCCAAGTGGTCTGCTGAGGGCTGGAGGCAGTGATAGGGGCTGGGGAGGGAGGGTGGAAGAGGGGAGCAGGGTACTGGAAGTGGGCCAGAGACAGCATTTCTTGGATTCTTTCAGAAAACTTTGACCCCCCCCCCAACCAGGGCATCTCTTTTGTAGGACAGAATCCCCTTGCCTTCCTCTCCTGCCTGTCACAACCTGGGAGTTAGAGTCCTTGGCTTGGCTAGAGATAAGCAGCCTAGTTCTGAGGCAGCCTAGATTTTCCTGTGACACCCCCCCCCCCCACACCCAACGAGAGCAGATTCAGTCTCTGCTAGCCGCATAGCCCCCCACCCCACCCCATCATGCCCTGATACGGTGACTGTTGAGCAATGCTTTAGCGGTAGGGGGCTCCTGGCCTCACCACTGAGGCCAGGGGGCTGCATGCAGATGCCTGAGAAGAGGAGGGGCAGAGGAGGGATGCTCAGAGAGAAGAGCGGGGCGGGACTCCCAGCCCCCGAGATCTGTTCAGCAAAAGGCAGACTGTGCCGACTTCTCCCAAAGGGACTGGCTTGGCATTTTCTTCTTTCTGTGCAGCCTCTGAGCCTGTGACAGTCTCCAACCCCCCCCCCCCCCGTTAGCTCCCACCCCCCACTCCCCCGTGCTACTTGTCCATTCTCGGCATCTGCTCATTACACAGACATCTTCAGCCAGCCGCATTAACAAACGCTTTATTGAGACCAGAGCAAACCCTCATAAAACTCCTGGGCTTGTGAGCCTTGAAAGAGGAAACTCACCCACCCCAAAGCCACCCAGCAGGGGTTCCAGAAGAGGACGCTGTCTGCTTCCCTCTGAGGCCCCTCTAGCTATCTGGGGTTGGAGCCAAGCCCCAGCTGCGGGTGCACCTTTTAGGCATTGAGCTTTCCTGCCTACAAAACTCGGAGGTTTTCTTCAGTGACAGGTGTGTGATCCCAGCTTCCAGACATGGAAACATGGCTCAGAGAAGGAGGTGATTGGCCAGAGCCCGCAGCAGGCACGGGATGGATCTGGAATTAGAAGGCAGGCACGTGCCCATCAGCCACAGGAGTGCCCTTTAGTTTAAGCCTGTGACATTTGGGCACCTAGGCTGCCCCTGTGACTTGCTTCTCATTCCAAATCCAGGGAGGGCAGGGTATAGAAGGGCTTGGGAGAGGGAAATGGCATCTAGGTGAGGGGCCCACTTCACTGCTTCTGGGGCTCTTTGTGCCCCACTTTTTCTGCTGCCCTGAGCAGGAGTGCAGAAATCTACCTCTTATTCCGGTGGCCCAGCCCCAAATTCCTCCAGTCTCCTTAGCTCTGGCTGAGAACTTGGCCCCTCCAGCCTGCCTGCTGCGCTCCCCTATGTGGGATAATTTTGGAGGCTGAGGTCAGGGGATTTGGAAGGAAGAGATGAAGGAGGGCCAAGGAGACCTTGGTGATCACAAAGGAGCGGACAGAGGCACTTGCCAGCCACTCTCACGTTAACCAGGGGCACTGGGGAAAAAACATACAAACAAAAAATTCAAACAATAGCATCCCCCCCCCCCCAAACAAAAATATTTGCTATGCTGGTCTCAGTGTAATAACTGAAGGCAGGGTGAACTCATGGAAGCCAGTGGGTCCCTACCAATTCAGCTGGACCGAACTATGCCTTCTAGCCGGCCTCAGAAGCTATTTTCTTCAGGCTGTATTCATGGGAGGCTTCTGCAGAGAATCCAAGAAAAAAATTCAAAAAAAGCATATTCTCCCCCCCC